AAGGGCTTACATTTTGGTGGGTATACTTGACAGTGCATTTGTGCATAGCTAGCTGGGTGACTCTGGGCTCGTGTTTAGTTAGGTGAATACCGACGGTCAATTTCCCAGGTATCAACAATTCATTTTATTTGGACGGCTTTTGGATGTCGTAGGCTTTGCTGCCACGCATTAAGCAAATCATCTCCAGTAAAACGTTTTTTGAACAAAGCTCCCTGGACAGATGCAAGTTAGATATCTTCACGTATCCACACGGCATGGGTGTCGACCAGCCAGGCCATAAGTTTATGGGCAGACGGCCGTTAACGCCAGTTTTGCTCGCTTAACTAAGCTTTTTGGGCACTGTGACGTGGAGCTTCCTTCAGAAAACCATGTGACCAGTACGGTGAAGTCCATGCAGTCCATGGCTGCGGCGTCCTGCAATTATTTTTATGTTTAAGTTATAAAAACCGCACGGATCAATCGGACATTTTCTTCATTGCCCTAAGACAAAGTCACAAGTTTGCAGGACTGTGTTCAAACCACTGGTCACACTCGACAGCAATAAAGCGGTAGACATGTTACGACTTTTTAGGTTTCGTGACTGCACGCTGCTACTGGGGCGCACTGACTCAAAACTTCTGTCATGCTTGCTTGCGAACGGTCTGTGTATTACTTGCAAACAGGTAATTCATCCGTTCTGGTAACATTATAAACGCTCGACTTAAACAGCTTCACAGGCTACAGCACGCTATTTGGAAGGCATTGAACACGGTGGACGGCTGGCGCGTGAGCACGCAGTGCGCATCACCTTAAATGGCGAACACACAAAACTGAATGGTGATGTCTGTGGGGTAAAGCAAATTCAAGAACATCAACGATGATGTTTTTCTTTCATCGAGTACAATTAGTTCGCAGACCCGGGTTATTTTGCACGAACGAGTAACCTTTTTCTGCAAAGGAGAACCGGGTGAGTTTTTGCACGGTGAAGCAGAGTCTAAATGGTTCTATAGAAGTATGATAGTACATGGTATTTGTTTCAGCTTCCTTTGTTGAGCGAGCGCAGCGTATCGGCTGGTGATGTTGTGACTAGTACCACCTTCCCATCACACAAGTTTTTCCAAAGAAAGGTACTGCAATCAAAAGCCCACATGTTTCATGGATGAACTCTACCTGTGAATATTAAAGGCAACCCTTGATACCCCACGAAAGGATTTGATGAAGGATCCTCCAAAATGCATGTGGATGGAAAGGGCGGACGTAGGAAAAATTAAGCCCTTCTCAGCCTTGTCTCCAAATTGTTTTTTGAAAGATTTCTGGGGCACTGTGAAATTTGTTCACTGTGATATTATCTATCACACCTACAGCAAATATGCTTTACGTGTTTAGGTTGTTTAAATTCAGCACCTGAGCATCGTGCCCATAGTACTGTGGTTTTGAACAAACGCCTTGTGTTTGATAACCTTTGCTCGTGAGATCACTCAGGGCAACATACCCAAAAGTTGGCTACATTTTACAGCAAAGCTGGACGCTTTGCTTTGACTATAAAGCCTTTTGCAGCCAAATGCTCTGGACCATGTTTAGTCTTCCAAGGTAATTTTGCCCAAACCTATACCGGATGGTAAAATAATAAGCCCATGTGCACAAGCCTAAGAGATGAATAGTTCACAGCTCAAATTCACGATCGGTGGCTGATGGCGTTGTGATCACTTTGGCTCCAATAGCAGGAAAGTACCCAGAACTGTGGTGGCACTCAGTGCACCTAAACTAAACTCCACTTTGAAGCAACAAATGGTGGGAACAACGCCGCGAAAGATGTTCACAAGTATCATTGTGGTGCGTTTCTGCTGAACGTGGACAACCTACATGAGCGCCCATGCCTCCGTTCATTAGGGCTACAGGCGCGCTTTTCGGCAACGTCACACTTCCCCAAAGTCGGTGTAATGATCCAAAGTTTATGGTTGAGCGTGCAAGTGGGATGAACTTTCCGTACTCCTAATTACGACGGCTATATCTTGCATTTGGGTTTTGGAATCGCAGTGAACCTCGTTTACGCGCGGAAGCTGCTTTCAGCCAACGTCACAAACGAGGGATTTAGCTGGGTTCCAGGGGAGTCTCTCGAAAAACCAAATTACTTTGCAAACGAGTGTATATTTGTTGCTTTCAGCCACCTTATTTGGGAGTTTGTACTTCAAACGCCACCATGAAAATAGGAGTGAAGTTAGCGAAGGTGAGCGGTTTGGACGATGGGCGTAGCAAAATGCAATCGAGGTACTTTCCAATGTGCATAATTAACGTATCTAAAGTCTGGTTCTGCATGACCTGAAGTCACAGTTGCATGTAGGCTTGCATTGACGGATTGGCCAAACCCAATCAGGAGGACGATTGGGCTATTTGGAAAAATCTTTTGGTCTCAGTGCCCTGATCAAAATCGGTGAACATGAGGCTGGCGTATTAACATAACAATTCAGAGAACGGGGAGCCGCAACTGTCCCATGCCTAGACCTGTATGATCATAGACCCCTGTCAAACCTCTAAGTATGAATTTTTTGCCGTCAGAACACCCCTCACGACAACCAAAGTATTAATGATAGTGTTTATTCCCAACACGTGAGTGGCATATCCTCTGGCATGATTGTATGTTTACAGTCATATTAAATCACGGCTGAAGGGACTTCCGGGTACTGAAGCGTGCGCGAAAGAGGACAGTGTCATAAAGAATGGGCAATATCTGATGAAAATAATAATAGGTTAGCTTTCAAACCTGCAGGCACCATGATGATTGAGATTTGAGCGGGTCGTTACGGCCTGAACGCAGCAGGCAACAAGACAACGAGGAGGAAGTTGCACTCAAAGAGGCATGCTTATTACGTGAAAAGTCATCTAAGTTGCTGGAACCGAGGAAAACTAGGAAAATGGACATGAGTTCCGACTAATTCAAAGATGAAGCCGGTTGACGTGAACTAAAATTGAGAGCCATTACTGGCCATGAGTGACCCTGATTGGTTGAGTAAATGGCCCAAGTCACAATAAGCAAGGATTGAGATGCAAATGGCAAGTTTCGTCTAGAGAATATGGTTTAACCCGAAAAGAAGTGAACTCACTAGTTTTACAGTTGTAGGGAAGTCAGTGCAAGGATGGTCTCGACGGGTAGGTATCGCTAATGCATAGGGCCAAACGAACACCGTATATGGAATTGAGCTCCTAACGACGGGTAGTATCGCTAATGCATAGGGCCAAACGAACACCGTATATGGAATTGAGCTCCTAAAAGAGGCAAACCGGTGGAAAACCAGGTTGGTCAGACCAGAAAGAATGAACTAGTCCCAGTTGCAGTTAGGGTTGCAATTATGGGCATGCGTGGGCAAAAATTTGCGGTCCAGATATGATTCAGCGTACCCCAAGTTACCCCACTGCCAGGCAAAGTTAAGGTCAAGTCTGTTCTCGACGAAATACCGCATCGAGGCACGCCGTACAGATATTTATCTAAGATCTGATCTGATCTAAGATCAACGTTGACAACGCCAGATGAAGTGCTCGAGCTTATCAGCCCGAGCACAATAGCTGTCTGCCTACAAAACAGCAGATATTTATAGGCGTTGCGTACTACGTGCCATAAAAATTGGCCGACGGTTTTCTAGTAGCTAGCTTTGTAAGGATGGTAACCTGGCGCATATGACGGAGTATGTTGGGCCTCCAGCCTCAATGCGTGTCTAACGCATAATATCGCATTGAGCCAGGCAACAATTGGCTTTTTGTCCCGATAATTTTCAAACCTACCCACAGATTGTTGAATGCATGCGCGGCAGCATTCCAGTGACAGGCGAGTAAAATATTTAACTTGCCGTGGCTTATTCTGATTTCAATCAGCTGAAAAGGTACTCAGATGTTTCTAAACTCAGCGCTTCAGGATAGGTCGGCTATTAAACCTAGCACGATCACTGTGCTTCTCCGCAACCAATATTTTTACAATGACTCATTGTAGTTCGTCGTACAAGGACTAGTGTGAATATGAACTGTATTTTTATTTGTTCGTAATTTATCGTCCCTCATCCTACATGTCGTGGGCTTTGGAAGCCAAATTATTGGCTTTGTATGTAGGCATGTGAATGATTTCCGCTCCTGGCAAGCTGCAACCGCACCAAACTCGAAAGCCGCGGTATAAGACACAGTGCTCTTTAAGTCAGCTTTTACGCTGGCAATAACCGTCTGTAGGCAATCTGTGGTCGAACCACACATACTTGTCTAGTTATGTCATGCTTTTTTCCTGCACATTAACGCGCTAACGTCAGATAAGCTCAAAGCGTGAGCGCTTTTCTTGGAAGTTGTGCATTGTCTCTTGTGTGCCATCAAATGTAACACATTTTTATGATAAATGCTAAAATATTGGAAATTAGAATTTTTAGGGACGTTGGCGGTAGCGGTATAAAAATGGAAGCCGTGTAAGCTGTCAACTCCAGCTAGTCATGTCCCAGAGTTGACGGACTTAGCAGTGGACATGCTCTGACTGAAGCCGAGAGTGTGCCACGCAAGACTGTCATGCTCATTCGTCCGATACCCAGAGAAAAACCTTTCCTTGCCATTTATGGAAATCTGCCTTCAGCGACATCCAGATTGGACGAACTATCACGGTATTGCCTACGCACCCGTGTATCATCAATGTTGGTAGTCAGGGGATTATCTGGGCTGAGACTATATTGAAGCCTCAATGGGTTTTTATCCTATTCACGGTATGCTTTGGCCGAATTAGGTAAGACATTTTCGGGTATTCATGTCGGGCTTCGCTGTTAAGGAAAAAGCATGTCCCGGCTATTCAGAACGGTTGGATGAGCCATAAGCATGACACTGGACCTAGCTACACATGAGCAGAAATTTTCAATATGCCCTTCGAAAATTGGACGGCAAAGGTATTTTGATACGGTCAATATGGCCGGTGGTCGTTTCTGTGGGATCTGAGTGGAAGGTGATGGGGGGCAGTTTGAAACTTTTTTATAACTAGCTGTGTGCCACGAAGCGTCACTCACCTTGGAGATGAAGAGCAAAGTTGGTCTCAGGGAATCGGATCGCTTCCCGAGTTGGGCTATTGTGTGAGTATGTAAACTCGTAGATATGCACTTGCTGCAGTGCTGGCCGCCACAATTCTCTCTGAAACAATATTGGCTCAGCCAAAAACCAGGCATTTACGATGCCGCACAGTTAGTGGCACTCACTGAATGAACCTCTTAATGAATGAAGGAAAAAGCTGGTTTTGAAAAAAAATTGACCTAATGGGCCGAACAAAGTATAAAGTCATTATGTTGAAGATAGAGACCGACAGGTGAAGCCGATCAGTGGTCTATACCGCTTCGTGAGGATTAGAAAGATTTGGAGTGATTTGGCAACATGGCAGGCGATCGCAGGGATCACAGCGTTCGCAAGAATTCAGCGCCGAGGCTGCGCACGCATCCGGTTACGTGGGGGTCAAAGCGATGGTATAAATATCTCGGTACGTTGTTAACCTCAAAAGTGAGGCAAGTTTAGGTAGGAAATTTCAGATGAAAAACACGCTTTTAAAATCACGGATTAGTTTGTTTTACCTGCTCAGGCTGCTGGCTTAGTTTATGGAGGGCTGTTGCATAAAAAAGTCAGCACCTGATAATTTTGCAAGAGCCTTTGAGGCATAATGCGTATTTCAGTGTCCGTGGTTAGTTAAATAACATTTTGTTAAGGTCTAAGTGGTTTGGAATGACTGTTTCGACAGTAGGAGTTTAGTAACTTCCCGGCGCAGTGAACTAAGACCAATACAGTAGGGCTCAAGATGATCAGACGACCCTGACGACCGTGAAAACCCCGAGGGCGCAGTAAGAAGTAATACTAAACTAAAGTTGGTAATTTCGCTTAAAAAGTATTTGTTTATAAGGAGTGTTTCCCAAAGGCTAGTTAAACCTCTTTTTTAGGCTCCAACCCAGTGGATTTTGTTGTCCAACAGGAAACCGATGACACTCCGGATAATGTCTTGGCTTTACCATTGGGTGATCCTCCAAAACCTTCGACCACCATCGTGGTGGATGTTTTTATAGTGTATGCGTTAGTAGAGCTAAACCTGCTGAAATCTCGGCAAAACGTGACGAAAATTGCCCGACTATTTTGTCTAACCCAGGGAGGACGTTCTGGGTGCTTCATATTCCTCTGACAACGTTTGATAGAGAGGCGTAGGCCCAACCACTGCAGTTGTGCAGTCTCTTTGCATCATTCATAGTAGGAAAAACAATAGTGTTCCGTACCTCCGGCACATGCGTCCAACATAGATGCTTGATGAACTCTTGGTGCTGAGACATTTCGTGTGGTTAGCTACGAAAGCCAGCCCCTGAGCGTCTGCTGACCGGTCGAAGTCCCACACGTTCCCAGTTGCGGAGACGGCCTTACGACCATTGCCTGCTAAAGCTTATAGGCACTCATGCAGGAAAAAAAAGCCCCCGCGAGGAAAACCAAGTTTCCAAAAAGCTTTCTGTTTTTTCGGCACGTCTGGTGTTTTCAAGCTCCAGGGCTGCTTGTAAATAAAGTGATCAAAACGAAGCGATCAACGTAAACAAAAACAAAACTTTGAATTGGGACAAATATTTTTATAGGTTTTGGATTCAGTATTTTTGCTCCCGGATTCGGAGTTCTGATATAATTTGAAAATGGCTTCACACGAGGTCTATTCCTCCGCACATCATTCCAGAATCAGTTGTTGCTCCTGTGGTGCCATAAGTGATCGCCAACCCATTTTTCGGACGTGTGCGGTCATTGTGCAGCTAGTTGCATTCATTCAGAATGGGTAAGCTAGCAAATCCATACTTAAACCGCTGACCACATTATTATTTCCACCTCTTTTGCAGCCAACTGCTTCGTAGCCGCCATTGCTCGCTTGATCACTCTCTCGAACATGTGCCCAGCATGTGCTCACTGTGTAGCCAAATCTGCGGGCGCATGTAGCATACTGGGTCTTGAAATAGTAGGGATACCGTGAACCACGGGCAAGCAATAAGACTGATTATGGCAGTCGCAGTACCGTCCTTGCGACGTCAAAATTTGAGTTTGTGGATAGGCCCTGTAAATAGAAATCTTGAGCGACCCTTTTGGAGTTGTCGTAGTAGTTAGGATTGGCCAAGGAACCGTGACTAATCAAGACCAGCATAGATGAGGTATATTCTTGGGTCCACCTAGGGAGTGAGAGTAATCCATTGCAGCCACTCAAATGAGGCAATAAGGTAGCCGTTTTTACATTGTATACGGGAATCGTACTGCTGTCAGGAATCGTAGAGTGCCATGAGTGGTCAAAATTTCCAACTACTGCAGTGAGGCGACACTGTCCGATTACGAAAACGACAGGCCATATTCAGGTGTAGGTAACATGTAAGCGGTCGGTGCAAATGGGTGTGCTTGTATGTGCATATAAATGACGTGCATTTGCTAAATTGTGCTCAACTAAGGCAGCTTGGAACATGCAGGGACAATAAATTGGCAAAAATCGTGAAACGTCCGGTTGCTTTGCGGGTTTTGATAATGAGGTAACTTAAGAACGGCTCAAGTACAACCCGAAGAAAGGCATTGAGTTTTTGCAAAACAAGTTGCTCCGGAGATGTGGTACCGTGTGTATTTAGTGAGCTTTTGTTGGTCTTTTTGCTATAAATGGCGTTTCGCATTCATAGGAGAATTTTCCGGATATACGCGAAAACCGGGGCAGGCTCAGGCAAGTGACACAGGTGTCTTGCAAAAACCGATTCTATTTTAGTTCCCTCTTTCCTGCGTTGCCTTTCCCCAAGCAAAATGCTCACCACAGTGTAGATGTTTTTCGGGGAGGGCGCGTAGTTGAAGTGAGAGTTGTCAACCGGGCAGTTTTTCTCGACGTCAAGCAGAGGAGGTGCAGAAGGGCGGAAATGGTACGGAAAGGTTTGCGGATGTAAGGATGGGTAATGATAAAAAAAGACCGATCAAGCAAGACATATGTGAATGGAACAGGCACGGCACATTGAAGACATGGATTACGTGAAGTCTACTTAGAGAACGAGGCAACGATAGTGGCATTCTTGCGATGTGTGCTACTTGGATGTGCGTTGAAGGATATTGGTTCCCACGCGATCAGACATAATAAACCTTGCAGTTCGCAGCTAGAAACTGGTACGTCATATCAGGAGTTACTTCTTTGTTAGCTCATTTATTCAATTATCGTAGAAATGATTGTGGAAGTAAGGGTGGGTTGCAATACGCCATGGTGAATGATTGTTTAGATGAAGCCCAAACCTGTGACAGACACGAGTTGGAGCTTCAGAGTATCCTGAAGCAACGAGCGGCTTTCAACATGTTGTGTGTGTCTGAGGTGAGGAATCGTTCCATATATAACCGGAAGCTGAAGACCACAAACTTACTGATTTGCAAGCTCATCGGTTTCCCAGGAAGAAGTCCCTGGTTGGTGGGAGTGGTACTGCTGTGGAGTATGGTTCGGCTTTAAGTTATGATGAGGACGGTGGAGATGTCGATTTTGTTAAGCTACATGGTATCAGTATAGATAAGAAGTAGAGTGAAGCAAGTGTTTAGCGCTCTAGATGATCAGATTTGACACAATGTTCCCGCCCACTCACTAGATTGTCCCTGCGGCCACATCGATGGGTGCACATTTGAGGATGTATGGGGTCCCTGAACTCTAAGGGCTCGAGTGCGTGCCACCCCGTCTTACGACTAGCTGGGATACATCCCTCTTCAGCTTTAGCTTTACCACGTCCAACAATGTCCTTGATCACTGAATTTCCTTATCGAATAATCGGTGCACACACGAATTCATCATTGTAGCCGATGAGTAACCGAGCAAGTAGTAAGTTCAACTTTTTAACAGTAGGACCCCATCTTCAGCGTAGAGAGCGACCGGGAATGGTGGACAGCGAGACATATTCAGCATTTTGTGGGTTATCCTATAAAATACTGCTCAATAGCGTCTTTTTCATGACGTTTCAGGAGATATAAAACGGTCGCTTGTACATTTATCCTTTCAGAATCCTCCCTAAGTGAAAGTGGTTTCCTGAAAACGAGAACGGGTTTGACTACACAGTGCGATTGTGCTCATGCAAACAGCACTTAGAAACGATTCTCCTGGGGTGTTTGTATATTTTTCGGGGGCGAGCTTGTCAGACGGGCGACATATGTGAGTGCATTTGGCTGTCTGCCTATTCCTGGTCGAAACCTCATTACCAGAATCGCACATAGACACGGGCCTTGCAGTTACTATACGAAACAAGGCTAAGCAAAGACACATACGGCTATGGTGAGCGGGAGGTGTAATTGGCCGTTGGATTAGAATACCATGCACAGTTGAGGCCCCACTGAGCGTCGCACATATACAGAGACCTAGTGGTTATGGTGAACTGCCGATGTAAGCGAAAACGCATACGGTTGTCATGATGAAATGCAGCGGTTGGCCTTGTTCCCCGGCAATGTCGTTGCGCATTATGATGTAACTCAGCTTAGTAACCTAACGGTTTCCATTAAGAGAGACCCTCTACAGGGATTTGGCGATTCGCATGTGGTTATCTGAAAACGCCGTACTGTTTCCTGACTAGTTGCCTGTACAGAGAACGGGATCATTCACACAGACTCTCCTCAGCGGCACAGGATGCCTCAATTTATCTTCCGTTGTTATAATGAACTTGAGGCGAGCTACCCGAAAAACTTGTGTTGTGCGGTATTTCGGTGGACAAACTTACCCAATTTGTTACGTCTGACGAGTATAACACATACAGCCGTCTTCCCACTATCCACGCTGGTGAGCTTTCACTTAGAGAATAATACATAGCGTTACAATGGACCGAAACTTGATTCCGTGCATTTTCTCGCAAACTTGTGATCACTCGCAAACCAGTGGTCGATGACCTTGAATTTTAGCTCACTAAATCAAAAGGTTATGAGCACCAGGTCACTGAAACAGGCATGCGATTAATGCACAAGCCAGCATTCTGCTTGGTTGGTTATGCACAAGCCAGGAAGCGCGCGTTCAAATTTCATTTTTGCACAAGCCAAGAAAAAAAGGAGTTAAATGGTTGAAGCGTATAAACCAAGGAAAGATGGACCGTCAGTGCAAGCGAGAAAATAGCACGAACAATTTTAATAATTTATTGCAGGATATCTCTGCTTCTCCGCGTGAAATACGTGCCATAGGAGGTTTAGA